AGCTATTAGTTGAGTGCCAAACGTGTTTATAGGTGTGCCATTAGCAGCAAACAGCTTGTATTTATCGGGCTTTTTGGATGATATTGCTGTTGACGGTAGTACTGACACATCTGCACCAGTGTCTATCAGGAAGTTTATGCGCGTGAGCTTATAGAAGATATGTAGGCGATTGATTGTAGAGTTCCGGCCACTAGTTTCATCTAGCGACCGGCCGGCGAGTTTCCCTGGCGACGTTGCTTGAAGGTGCAGGGTTGTCGACAATTCCGAGCTTTAGGTCCAAATCGACGATGATAATCCAATTGTAATAAGAAATGCGAACACGAAATATATTTAAAGTTCTTATTACAAATTTTATTTTTTCTAACAATTATTTTTTCATTTTTTCATTTGACTACAAAAAGTATCCACAGAAAAGATTTTGTTAAAATTTAAATAAACGAGTAAATTTCTTAACAAGTAATGTCCTACAAATGTGACCCTGTCGAGCCCCCCAGCTGTTGATTTTTTCTTCGCTAGTAATTTTTCAAATTTCATGTATGAGAAATCAATGCTCCCGTTTGACGCGCTTGGAGACGCGTCGAATGATGGACAACACGTGATATTGTGATTGCTAGCTTGTTCGGCTTGTTCTTTTATAATTTCTAAATAGTTGCGGTCGTCTTCGGCTGCCCAGTTGTGCAATGGCCTTTTATTTCCTTTGACATTTCTTATGAAATTCCATGCATTTTTGGAATTAGGGTTAGCATTGATTTCTTCTATTTTATTGTTATAGCTAGATTTTTTTTGCTTTCTTCACTGCGTCTTTCCAGTCACCGGTTGCCTTAATTGATTCCTCCATATCTTCTATGCGGTTAGTATGATTTGCTTTTTTTTCGTTTTGCCACGTGTAGTCTGTAGAGTTTATTGAGTTCCTCGCTCCACCATTCTTTAGGAGTGCGATTAGCCTTATTTAAATCAATTTTTATTTTATTCTTGACATTGTCAATCACATTTGTGAAATTTTCTAGATCATCAAAGCTTACCTGCGCTAACTCCCTAGCCAGCTGTTTCTTGGGGATAAAGAAGTTGGGTTTCTTTCCGGTGTTTGTTATCTCTATGGTGATAGGAAAATGCTTGCTGCCTCCTAGATGTACTTGGTGACATTGCCATTTTATCAAACTGCTATTTATATTTGTGAACGTTATGTCTATTACAGACCCGGCACTGTTTCCGGTACGGTGGGTAATAGTTCCGGTGTTGATGCATTGAAGGTTTGTATAGCTGATTTCGTTGATAATAATGCTTCCTTTGGAGTTGCATATTCTGTCTCCCCATGCCTGATGTCTAGCATTGAGATCGCCAGCAAGAATAACGTTTTCGTGGTTGTTTAGTGCGATAAGTACACGATTTAGTTCGTTAGTGAAAATAGTAGTGTTGATGTTGGGAGGGAAATATATATTACAAATTGTTATGTTTCTGATTAAATTAGTGGTTTTAGCTATAAGGATGTCAAAAGTGGAGACAAATTTGATTTTAGTGAATTTAATACCTTTTCTGAATCCGATTCCTACACCACCGTAGCCGTCGGTTCTGGTTTTTTCTAAGCAAGTTGAAGTTGAATAGGTTATGAATTGTTGTTTGGTTGTCATGTGAGAAAATCTCCTGAAGGCATACTATATCAATGTTGTTGTTACTATTAAAAAGGTCTACATAGTTTTTATTGCTTTTTAAGCTTTGTATGTTATATTGTAATATTTTTATCGAACTGGTCATCATTGCTAATTGAAATTTTGTCTTGTATGTGTACTTTGCCTATATTTTGAATAAGGTTAACTAATGGGTCATTTATATCAATGTTATACCTTTTTATTAGAAGATTTACTAGCCTCTCTATCTCTGTAACCTTACTCCAGTTCGCCATTTCATATACAGGCTGTATGCTTGCTTTAACTCTCGGGGCGTTGTAGGTTGGCTTTGGTGGTGCGGATACTTGTGGAATATTTTTCTTTACAACTTGATTGTATTTGGTAGTAGTGAGTTTTTTGTTAACCACTTCGTCGTTATTGATCATTACTGTTTTTTTTTGTATCTAAATGAGGGAAGTTCCCTTCAAAATCGTCTAAAGCAGAGAATCTGTTATTATTGTTGAGATTGTACATCCCTATTGCCTCTGATTTTGATACCTTTTTAATGGTCATTATTTCTACTACCTTTTTTTTCTTTTGCCCATACGGAGCATTTGCTACTTTCGAGTGAGTTGTGGGTATCGCCTCCACATAGTATGCATGATTTTGTGTTCTGGTTACATTTGCTATTGCAGCCCTCTGCTTTACCACAAACTATACATCTGTTTGCTGCTTTGCACGCCATTTTGGTGTGGCCTAATCTTCCGCAGTTATAGCAGTGTCTAATTCTTGGGATATAATGGACAATTTTTATCTTTACATAGAATATTTCAATTGATTCTGGTATCTCGTTACCTTCAAAGGCTATCTTTACAGAGTACGTCGGGATGAATTTTTCTTTGTCATTAGGGTCTCTTCTGGTAATCCTTGTAATTGATGTGATCGGTATGTCTGAAACTATATTGTTCTTTATTTCCTGTTCCGTGAAATTAAGTGGAATTTGCCTCGCTACTCCGGTGGTTTCCACCATGCTTTTGGGTATGAACGGTCTCATATTATTTTTGAGTAAGTCCGGGTTGTCTATGCATTTGTTTGCTGCTTCGAAATTTTCAAAAAAAAATTTTATAAAGCGACCTACCTATTGCTTTTATTTTTTTTATTCCTAAAATATTAAAGTTTTTTATTTTGTCCCACAGGAAGAGACCATTTCGCATTTTGTCGTTTTCGATCATTGTAGATTTAGAAGTGTCCACTAGTACACAAAAATCGCACTTGTGCCTATTTGTGTAGCGCACACTGTTGGTGTTTTCATTTTCGCTCTTTTCTTTATTCGCACCGCTACTTTCTGTTGTATCTATTTTTTTCACTGTCCGGTTTTTTGTGATTTGCATTTTCACTGCTTTCGCTGATTTTGTCCGCCTTGTCCGTTAGATTTATTTGCGCATTTTTCACGTATGTGCCTTTTTTAACAAGCATCCCTTGTAACGGGATAAACATGCCGTTATTACTTTCAGTTTTAGTTTTTTTTGGTTTTGCTAGAATTTTCTGTCTGTTTGGTACAGTCATCGTCAGTTTCGGAATTTCTTCCTGCCTTGTCAACCTTAGCTACTTTAGATTTTTGCCTTTTCCTAATGTTAGCCGCTTGTTTCCC